AGTTGTTACAGATTTGTGTTAGATACAATGTATATATGAAGTTCATATATTTTGAACTGCGGTATTAGATACGTATGAGTCTGCTTTTCGATATTGCATAAATAGCGCTCTCTACTGCGAGGATCGTGCATCATACGTATCTAATACCGCAGTTCAAAATATATGAACTTCATATATACATTGTATCTAACACAAATCTGTAACAACTGATGACATGAGCCCGCGTTCCTTTCCTCAGGCAGTGTTACAAAGTAATGTAATCTGCGCACGTCTGAGAGTTTCATGGGGTTACGATTTCCATGGGTGGGGTCTGGGTGAGTATCTTTCCGTGAGGCCTAAATTTAGAAAATAAAAACACCGCTGCATGCTAGGGGCTCACTGCATGTGGGGCGTTTTTAGGCCCCGGCGCCTAAAAGAGGCCCGATCTCTGTCTGCGTTGAACCGGAAAAAAAAATAAAGACACTCTCATAAAAAAGGCCTTCAGACCAAATTTCCTCCGGTTTTAGAGGATGTATGACAAAAATTCAACTCGAAAAAAATCAGGAAATAGCCCTCAGTTGAAGAGAGGAAGTGTCCCTAAGACGAAAATTGACCGATTTATTTTGGGCTAATTTGTTTGCAGATTGTTGAATTTGGACAAGTTAAAACCCTTTTCGCCATTAAAAACTCAAAAGAAACCTTCGATGACCAATTTTTACCGCTTCAAAGTCGTCCAAAAATCGTCCGCCATTCCTGAAAATATGTTCCAGCCGAGCCCGCAATCGTATTGCAAAAAACGTCATCATGACGTCAAAGGCTCAACAAACCTGTGCTTTGATTTGTTACAACTCCCTTTGTTCGCTGCACGAAGAATCACATATGTCACTTTTTTCAGAACTGTTTCGTTGTCAGTCGTGAAATGTCGACTTTCACTGACAATGAATTGTCCCGGAAATCATCTGAAGCTTCTGAGGATAGTTTTGCGTCGGCAAACGATGAATTCTTGCTATGAGAATAAGGGTAAATACTGAACGGCACGGACTCCCCATGTGGCTTTTGGGGTCGCGTAGCTTTATCGCCTTCAAATTGTACTTTTGCTTGTCATAAGGGATTTTCCCTTTTTGTAAGAAATGATTGGATGATATATAAAAATTGTTTTCGGCAATGGCTGATTGTGTATCAAAGCGGATATACTGGGAGTTTGTGAAAGCCATTTCTAAGTCAAGCCATCAATGTGTTTGCCCCGATGCATTTGGTCGATGATCTCATTAACCCTTTGCTGTGTGTTTTTTACTATTTCTGCTTTGAGAGGTTTGAAGTGAACTCTGCTGTCGATCGAGTTGCATTTTGGCTTCTTCTGTTTTTTTTCTGTATTATATTCATGATGACTGTTGTTGAGTTGCTTCTGTGAGGTTTAAAGCAGAGTTTTTTCAACTCTTTTAGAGCCGTGACTTCATTGCTTTACAAAGTATTTTTTGGCTTAGATACAGTCTGCAAGTTATGTTATGATAGTTTTCCAAGTAGCTCTGAAGGGCAATAGAAGACTGAACCGGTAGCATTCAGTTTGATATGAAACGGAAGTGATTCTTTGTTTTGTCGGTGAACGTTCGTCGAGCGAATAAATCTCGTCCTGAATTCAGAGTTGGCCTGATTTTACATTCGTTTGTCAAGGGTGCATGTTGGGATGAATCTGAGACCCTTTGATAGCACGCTGACTTGGCTGTCAGATGGTTGATAAATTTTTTAGAGATTTTTTAACAATCTTTCATTTTTCTTCATTTCTTTGGCTGCAAGCCTACATTTTAAAATGTTTCTACGCTCCATGTGTCTTCAGCTGTTTGTTCTGTTTTCGCTGATACTAAACCTAGCTTTTTTAGAAACAGAGAACACACTTATATTTTCCATCTCTTTTGTTTAAAAGTGAGTTCTTTGAGGTCGCAAATCTCATTCCTTAATTCGGCTATTTGATCGTTTTTATTTACAATGTTCGCCGAGTACTTTCCGTTGCGTAAGGTATTCCGTTGTTACTAAAAGGCAGATATTAATCAGCACACATGTAAAGGTGACAAAACACGCAGATGTCCGCAGTCCAGCGCTCTATCAATGGATAGAGCGCTGGACTGTTGTGCGGGAGGTCGAGGGTTCAAGCCCCGGCCGGACCAACACTCAAGGTTTTAAAATAATTGAGAAGAATTTGCTACCTTTCTATAACATCAAGAAATGGTTAGATATTCTAGTCTTCTCGGATAGGGACGAATAAATGGAGGTCCCGTCTCCTGCAGGGTTGGGGCAGGAGACGTAAATTTCCCACACACGAGATTACTGTGTGATGGATGTCCTCCCCTGGGGTGGGATGGGTGGGTTAGGACAGCAGGTCCACATCAGCTATTACAGCTGCCAATTAATCAACCTGCTTAAACAAATAAATGAACTTCAACTTCAACTTCAAC